TCCCAGTCTGCCCTATCGAGTATGAATCGAGGGATCTCGACATGGGGTTTGCTCCTCTTCGTGCAAGAGATATAAAAATGGGATAATGATCGCTGTTGTACAGATCACATTTCCGACACTAAAAGTGCAAAATGGCAACAGAGATGGTGAACAGATGGCAAGGTCGAGAGCGTGGAATGTCCTTGAAGGCTCATGGAAGTCTCCTGCCCATTATTCAGGAGACAAAGGCTATGATCTTCGATCATCTGCTCAATTTGTCTTCCTCGGCAATTTGTATCTTTACTACCCCAGAGCGGACTATGGCCGTTAAAATCTCCTATTATGATAAAGGGCTCAGGCAGCTGCTCTATAAGATCATTTAAATCTTGCTGATCAATGTGCTCATTTGGAGGCAAATACAGAGAAACGACTGAAACAACAATATGAAATTTGGCTTTGAGTTGCGACAACTTGGAGGGAGTCGTCAAAGGAAGTGAATTTGAGGGATAATCCAGTGAGGTGAGGAGACCTACACCCCCACTGGCACGCTCACCTGCAAGGTTATCCTTCCTGACGATAGAAAACCTCCGAAGTTTTGCATGTTGTTCCTGGTTTCAGATTTGTTTCTTGTATTGCTAAGCACACAGGATGATAAGGTATTGATTATAGCTTTGATGTCAAGCAAATTTCGGTGGAAACCGCGACAATTCCATGAGATAAGGGTGGCCATTATGTTCCTGTTTATTTTTTCTGGTGCTCCTTTTTTGTCTTTGCGAGGGAGCAGATGTTTTGGGAATTTCCATTCCTTCTTCTATTTCCATATTATCCGAATCCGGGGATGTCAGATATTAAATCGTCAATTGAACTACTGCTCAGGATTTCTATTTTTGTTACTATTTTTGGAGGCTTGTTTTTGGATTTTTTTCTGAATTACTATTTCTTTCTTCTGGATTGTGTGAAGTGGGTCTTTCTTTTTTTGTTATTAGTTTGAGGCTCTTGGCTTTTTGTTGAAATGAAAGATGTTTGGATGGCTATACTGATCTTGTTGGATTTAACGGCATTGGCAAAAGATTAAATTTGGAGCGCACTTGTGAGCTTTGTACTATTTTCCTGGCTTCGGCATATGAAATTTCTAGAAACTTTTGTGGTCTGAACTTCCTTTTCAGATTTCCATTTTGGACAAGAGCGAGAAAATGCTGGGTGATCACCCTTGCAGTTTAACACACAATGGCGCAGCGGTGCACTTATCACTATCGTGGCCAACCAACGAGCATCTGGCGCACGTAAGGGTGCCACGACAGGATGTCTTAGAGTGACCAAACCGCTGGCATTGGAAGCATCGCATTGGGTTGGGAATATATGGTCTTACGGGACAGTTAAGATACCCAGCCTTTATATTCTTCGGCAGATCAGGCGATTTGAAGGTCAGGATCACGTGTTTCGTGTCAATCAACTGACCTTCCTTTCGCATCTTGATCCGCCTAGCACCACAGACATTTTGGTCAGCTAACTCGGAGACGAACTCTTCTTCTGAAACACACAGAAGGTCGATCTCCGAGATCACGCCTCTACAGGTATTAAGTGTTTTGTGTGCTGACACTGTTATAGCTACTTGTCCAAGTTTGGTTTGACGTAAAAGTGAAGCAGACTGGGTGGCCGAAAGGGTATCAATGAGCAAGTCTCCAGAACGGAGACGCTTTATGTTCCTTGGCTCACCTACGCAGGAATGAATGTATTTGCTGACCAGGAAAGGAGACATCTTTTGCAATTCTCCAGAGGCACTGGAAACAACAATAAAGCGCGGACAATCAGTAGATTCTTTGGCACTTGCATCGGTACGGATCTTCTTGTTAATTGATTTCTCAACGATTTCTATATTTTGGTTGGTGTCATTTGAGTCAGGTTTTTTAAGAATAAAAAGTGAAGCCATGTTTGAAAGAAGAATAAGATTCGGGTCCGACGGCCCCGCCCACCACGGAGCCCAACAAGGGAACACAGATTCCTGTGTTAGGGCTAGCCGGACCTATACGCAAACTGAAGCCCCACAGTCGGCTTTCCCGAAAGCAGGTACTCCCGAGAGCTTGACCCCAAGCCACTGACACAAGGACTAGTGACCAGCCGATTGACACCCGTGAGGACGACTAAGGTGCCTCCCGTTTAGCTGAAGCAGAGGCCAAAGCAGTGTGTTGGGGGACAGTACCTCGCCCCTCAACTACCAGGACCCTCCTTTCCAGCGACACGGGTCTCCACGCACGGCAAACACGTGGGCAGTTTTCTCGCCACTCGAAAACTAGAGACAAGGTCTACTCCAGTCTCTCGTGACGAGCCCCAAACTCCGTAGAGAGAAACCACAAGGGAGAAGGGAAAGGAAAAAGTTCCAGTGAAGAGGAGAGGAGACGGAAAAGAGGATAAATCACTGGGGCTCCAGGATCGTGACACCCGTCTCACCAAGAAGATGATCCCCTGAAGGGCTAGGGTACCTCGGGATTGCCACACCCGTACTCACAAAAAGTGAGCCCTGAGGGCTAAGAATCAAACCGTTCAAAAACCACGAAAAAATGGACGTTGGGGAAATGAACTCCAAAACCTCGGCCGTTGGTGGGCCTCAATTAAAATGAAATGTTCCGTAAGTGGACATAGCTATTTGCATTATGATTCGAATTTTGCCATTCTGAGTCACATGCGAAAGCGTTCAAAATGTTTTTTCACTAGATGGTTGACATGATGTAATCTAAACATGTAAAAACAAAGCGCCGTTTAATGTAATCCAAATGACTCACCAAGATTTTTTTCTCAACAAAAACCTTTGAAAAATTCATTCATTCAAAAGTAACCGTTAGAAGGTTTCCAGTAAATTGGCTTAAAATGCGCTTGATAAATTTAGAAAGGTCCAAACCCCAACTCGTACAATTCAAATGTGACTATAATGAAGATTCAGAATTTAATGTCATTAAAATATGTAACAAAAATATATAATAATTATCTTTTTTATATAATAAGAAACTAAAAAATTTGAACACTGAATTTAATTTTATTACTTTTCTCACTTACCAAATCGATTAACTCGCCCAGTCACATAAAAACTGTAACGTTACTGATGATTACTTTTTGGCTATTCTTTCTTGTTAGTTTTATATAGGGTTAGATGAAAGTTATATCGGTACTTATACACTTTACAATATTTATTTGAATTAATATTTTAAAGGGAATCTTAAAAAACAACATATATTATTTCATTATTGCATTTCTCCACTTTTTGTTTTATGGAGTTAATCGATTTGTAAATAAAGTATTTACCGCAATGAAAGCGAAAACATCCTTTTTTGAACAAAATAAAACTATGGAACCATTTATCAATTCCATAAGCACACAATAAATTTCTATTTCAACTAAGGTAAACTGTAGAGTGGGAGAAACATGAAAAATGTGCGATGCCTTTCCCGGAACTCGAACTCTGGGCCTCCTGATTGCTAGCCTGACATGCTTCCAGTTACACCATGAAAGTATGCGGTAAGGAAGAAGAAAATACCTCGCATTCTCCCCCACTTAAAATGTACGTCGCCAGGGCAGGAACCCACTCGCCAAATCCTTGTGGTGACGAATAATCTCCACCATATTTTAGTTCGGGCTCCACTGTAAAGTCATAAGGTTTATTTCGGGGCAGGAAACATGAAGAATCAGCAATTTCCTCGACGGGATTCGAAATCCGCTCCTGGGGCTTGTCACCTGGCGCGCTTTCTCACCAAGGCTCTCGAGAAGGAGAAAGAAAATACCCTACAAAATAATAGAATTAATTTTTAATTTCCTAATCCCTAAAACGAAACGAACGATCTTGCTTTACTTGAACTCTATTATTTTTTAAAAATGGTATTTATTTTCTCTGTTAGAGGGCGTTATTAATTCATACTTTTCATTTCTCTACCTCTGCAATAATCAACATTAAATGTTTTGTCTTCATGTCAGATCGCAAATATCTTATATTATTCACATTTATTATACGCAAATGCTGTTACGTCCATAACATATTAGAATATTTTATTAACAAAATATATGTGTTTATTTCATCAACTGAATTTCTGGTGTTAACATATCTTCGCACATCAAAATATTCTACTGACCAGAAGCCCACACCTGCAATAGGAATTATTTATATTTGAGTAAAAACGTAAAGCCTAACTTGTTTTTATTAAACTAATATATTTTAGTGATACAAACTAATTAAGAAAATAAATTAACAATATAATATGTATTATTAAAGTAATTACAATCCAGCAAGAGTGGAGTTAAAACTCAATTATTAATCTACCATCTCTCCAAGAAGGCTATAATTAAACAGAAAAAATTACTTAAAAGACGCAGTCGTCATAGTTTTTTACATGTTATATGTTTGCTAAACAATGTAGGCCAGGCCACATGTCGTACAAATCTATCGAAACTAATTTAGTAGCTTTTTAAAGAAAATACGTATCACAATATACATGCTAATTAGATAATTTTTGTATGTTATTTAAATTGATGAAAAAAATTGAAATCTCGTAAATAAATCAACAAACTTAATTTTACTTGGGCTATGAAAACAAAATGAGAAAATTAAATAATTACTACCATAAAATACATACTATACTACAAATAAAACTAACCATTAAATATAATAATATGTATATATGCATAAATTTACCACCAGCGGCCGAGTGGAAGTCGCTGAACCAATGGTAGTTCGGTCCCGAGGTTACGAACTGTCTGCAAGGGCGTTTTCGTGGTTTTCCCCATGTTTTGTATTCAAGCCAGTTTCCCTTAGAAAGTCTCTCCAAGGCAGATAAGGCAGATTAAGGCTCTTAAGGCAGATAGCCCTCGAGTGCTTTGCCGTAATCTAATAAAACGAAACCAAAAACCATAAATATTTTATTTATGAAAAGACACAATTATTCTAAAGTAATCATATTTTGTAAATCTATATTTTTATATGAGATAAATTCTATAAATAAGTATATAAGACAGAACAGGTAAAATTTTGAGGCAATACCGTCATTTTTATTAAAATAAGCTTATTGAAGAAATCATTATTAATAATTCGAATATGAGAATTAGTTCTCCTATATAAAGGTACATAGAGTAGCCAAATTAGCTTTACGAATTACACCCTAACCGTACAATCATAAACTTTTCCTAGTTTCATTCTTCACTAATAAGCCCACCAGAGGCTGAGTGGTAAAGTTGCTAAACAGATGTAATTCGGTCCAAGATTAGAATTCCGCGAACAGGCTAGTTGCATGGGCGTTTTAGAAGTTTTCCCCATTGTAACGTGTATATAAGCCTGTTTCTCTTAGAAAATCTTCCTTGCAGGCGTCTCTCCCTTCCTTTAGGCAGATAGCCCTCGAGTGCTTTATCATAATCAATTAAACCAATCTTCATTGAAGAAAAATTTTACGCTAATCAATTATCAGTTGCTTTACATCTTTAGATTCATGCTGTAAGATAAGTATATAAAATCATGTGATTAAGCAGATTATAAAGCAAAAAATGAAGAAAAATCTGGCACCAAGTTCCAATGTCTTAAACAGTAACTTAACTAAATTTGCATTAAAAGAATTTTCAAACGTTTGATTCGTATATGTTAAATTTTCATACAAACACGCAAAGGGACACAAAAAGGAAATAATTTGGAAAAGATCGTCGTCATCATCGTCTGTCATCTTTACTGTTACCATAATTTTCACCTTGATATTTATCTTCCTCAGATAAATGAAACTAAACAACAGCTAACTATTAAACTAAAAAAATTGCTTCGGTCAGAAATTTGTTTACTTCAGTTAGATCTTTCGGCACTTTTTTTTGGAGTATCGTCAGATTCCACACGTATGTGCCGAAAGATCTATGTGTCGACGGGACCATAACGAAAGATGTAACTAAGGTAAACACATATTTGGAATGCTTTTTGCACTATTTTTTTTTTCATTTGTTTCAATGTTCAGTGTAAACTTCTGCTAACGACCAGCAATTATAAATCTTCTTTCAGCAAATACTATAATTTCATTTCAAGAGCCTTCCTCATGTTATTTATGATTAGACAGAAACAAATTAATGATACATTTGTTATTTTGGCCTTGGCTGCGTTTCATTAAATTAGTTCGCAATACGTTCATGGTTCTTTCTTAATTACTAGATGGGAAACACAACAGAGGATGCTGCAAGCATTTTACGTTCATTAACCAATTATTATTGTTTGAAACTTCATCTTTTCATAGTCATCACCAAAATGCAAATTGTCTACGTGAATATTTAAACCGAGGATTTTGAACATTTTAGAGCCAGAATTTTCGGCAACCTAGCTTCTAGTTTACGTCCTCGCCAGCTATGCCAGAGTTTATTCCAGCTTTTGCCATTTTTCTGGACAACATTAAAAGTTCTTCGTTAAGTATTTGAGCCAGCTTATGTAGTCTCCGACTATGATACTTGAATTTTAAACTTCAGCATTTGTTTTTTTAAGTACGCGCAAGTGACGGAATTTTGTTTTATGAGCACAAATGGTGTCTCCTGTAAAATTTAAAAAATTAATTAAAATGTTATTTTAATCTTTGCAGGACTTTGTCATCTTAGTTTAGGCTGGAGTGATAACTCGCTTGTCACTCTAATAAGGTCTGAAAAGACATTGATTTAAGCTTCTACTCATGTCAAATTTAAAACTAAAATTAATTTTGGACAAATAGAAAAATCTAACATATTTGGGAAAGCATTGTACTAGTTATGAAGCAATAAAATTATAAGAAGTTTAACTCTAGTACCACAAAAATTAACCGGGATATTTAATTTCAAAATTTGTAGTTTGTGATTTCATTTTCAACTTGTCTTCAGAAATAGTTTAAGTCAAAATAATCCGAGAAAATAAGTTTAAATGAAGTGGAGATAAAATGAGTGTAATTTAATACGCCGTACAAGGAAGTCATGTGATGTCCACATCATATTTTTTTTTAAATAACTTGAATTTATTCCTTGAAAAAGTTACCATAATTAAGGGACCGCTGATACTAAATTAACGGACGTTGTGCTTCTTTTTAATCAAGTTATGGTTTAATTTCATGAGCCAAATTGTTCCTTCTTTTTTTGGCTTGCTTATTGCTAAAGGCAAGTGATGGGCTTCTCTGGACCTTCTTAAAGCATCTAAACGCTCTCTCCGTGAGATATATGTGATCACAAAGCTGATAACTGAAAGAAATAAATGTCTAAGCATAAAAAAATCTCATGCTATTAAATATATGAATTTTTTATGAAGTTCACATAAATGAAATTAAAAAAGAACAACAGAAAATTATTTTAAGAAAAATAAAAACGATTAAAAAAATATTTAAACTTTTCACATTTCTGTTTCATATGAAGAGTATGATCGTGTACACCTGACATGTCCAAACTCTGCACCTCAAATGAACCAAATAATCATCAGCATACAATAGGGCAGGGCGCAAAGGAAAAATGCTATTTTCTTAGTCAATGGTGCATTGAAAAAGTGATTACCACATAAAATCTTCTCTAATACTGTATTTCTTTAAAAAAAATATATAGAAGGAACATAAAGAAAACCTTATAGTATATGAATACGTATTGTTTCTCTCCCGGTACCTGGCGTACAATCAGCGGCAGAGCGGTAAAATCGCTGAGCACTGATGGTTACACCTGGGTTTGATTCCAGGCAAATGGACTGGCTAAATGGGCTTTTCCGTGTTTTTCTCCAATGTGTACAGTGGATACGAGCCAACTTCCCTTAGAGAGTCTTCCGCGAAGGCATCCCTCCTTAGATAGATAGGCCCACCAGCTGAACACTGGTAGTTCGGTCCGAGGTTCGAATCCCGCGAACGGGCTGGCTGCATGGGTGTTTTCGTGGTTTTCCCCATGTGTAACGTGCATACGAGCCAGTTTCCCTTAGAAAGTCCTCCACGAAAGGCATCCCTCCCCTTAGGCAGATAGCTCTCGTGTGCTTTGCCATAATTAAATACACCACACCAACACCTTAGATAGATAGTCTCGAATGCTTTGCCATAATCAAATATACCAAACAAACCTAAAACCAGCTTTTGGAAAGATGCTTGGACTAACGATGTCACATCTGAAACAGGATTAATACCTCTTAACCTTTATCTTGCTGGGAGTTTGTTCGTTTTCATATATGCGAAATGCTTTTTTCAGACTGATACGTACTACCGAACATAGAAATAATGCACAATGAAATTTGCGAATTTCTGGGAATCACGCAAGCAAATATTTGAAGAATTCGCGACTACCCACTTTACTGAATATTTGCTTTAGAGTTGAGTTGCACTGAATTTCTATTAATTTCATCTGTAAATGACCTGGTACTTTCGTGACACCGGTTGAAAAATATTTTTTTAAAGCGACCGACTTAACAGTCCTTTTTAGTACCCGAGATTAGCGGACCCATGATGCTGAATGAAGTTCCAATTTTTATTAATATATTATAATTGCATACTTTTTATTATTTTCTTGGACCACAGAAAAATTATTCAAGGGACGTAAGCTGCCCACAAGCAGCGAATTTGACAGGCTTGGTGTACACCAGTGATATCCACTGTTGTAAGATCAACAAATTATACTATTTATTGTGGTTGTAAGATAACAAATTATATTATTTACTGTGGACTTTCTGATATACTAGTATTTTTCTGCTTCCTATTGATATTGTAAATTATACAGATACACAGCTCACAGACGCAGTGTACACGTAAAAATTTCTGAAAGGGAACATGTGAAAACTGATTTTGATAAATCTGCTACTTTTCATAAGTGCTGATAGTGTAACGTTCTTGTTAACGTGTATATATTTTATTTATGTTCTTGTAACGGTTTAATGTGTTCAAAATGACATTCTGAATTTCTTATGTGCGTTATCTTGCATTTAGTCTCTTCTGTTCTCGTTACAAATTTATTTACAGCACTAACTATTACTGAGTAAAATTAGCATTTCGAAATTATTCCTGTTATTACTTTTAATAATATATTCCTTAATATTGGTTGAATAAAGCGTATTTTTTTACTCGGACATAAACACACGTTTTAAACTGGTCCTTGTGCTCATCTATTGGTGCACAATTAATTGCTTAATCATACTCAGAATTTCAGTTTCCTCGCTTCTTTTGAACAGAAGTTTTCAGAAGTTTTTGCGCTTCTGTGAACTCGCTACAGTCAAAAATCAAACTTAAAAAAATCAAAAAATCAAATTTGCTACAAAGTTTAACAACTCAGAATCAACATGAATTTTAAGAATATTATGATATATTTATTCTGAAGCCTTTTTCAATCCACGATTTTGTTTATAATTTCATTAAAAAATTTGTCACAAAATTTCTCTTTCTACGAAACGCATAGAGTATACAGCTTTAATCCAGCAATTATGTGTCTAGGCCATTATCGAAGCACAGAAAATGGAAATCGATCCTTTAGAGGATCTCCAAATGGTTTGGTTTGGTTTATTTAATTATGGCATACTAAGGCTATCTGCCTAAGGGCAGGGATGCCTTCGCGGAGGACTTTCCATGGAAAACTGGCTCGTATACACGTTACACATGGGGAAAACCATGAAAACGCCCATGCAACCAGCCCGTTCGCGGGACTCGAGCCTCGGACCGAACTACCAGTGTTCAGCGACTTTACCGCTCGGCCGGTGGTGAGCCTGCATCTCTAAATGTATCTACTAACTTGGGAAGAGTGCTTGGCAGCTCATTCCCAAAAAGTATTGTTGCGATATCAAACTAAAACAAAGTTTAAAATAAGAATAACATATGTTAATTAATGATTCTAAAGAATGCCGTTTCGCGTTTATTGCTGTGCATGCAGTACCACAATATAAATCCTAAATTTTAAAATAATATCGCAGTATGGGCCTTCCAATAAGCAATACGTCAGATTACCTACTACCATACCAATATCTAAGATCGGACGTGTCAAACTTTAGTACCACGACTACATATTACAATGATTATTTTTCAATAAAAATATTGAAAAAATATATTTTGCCATTTGCACAACGTATCGGCTATTTGTATTAAGTATGCACATATAAAATATTAGATTAAAAATTGGTTACGATTTTAATTATCAAAATTTAAGTTATGATAATTCTAAAATTTTGCGTGAAATTTAGGCCTGTTTAAGAGAGATAAGTTTCTTTACGTCTGGTCTTATTTTACTTAGTTTTAACCGTAAATTAGGATCCACTTTTAACGTTGTTCTGAATTTATTTTTTAAATATAACATGGAAGAAAATCCTCATTCACACAAATAGGTTGTGCAACAAGGCAATAAAAATTTAATAGCTTTATTTGAAATGCTTTAAATTATTCTTTCGGTTCAGCCAAAAGTTAACACACAGAAATTTTAATAAATTCTTGTTCTTTTTCTTCACAAAATAAAATTTCATCTGCATTTGAACAAAATGGATTTCTAATACAATTTTCGTTTTCATCACCCTCCGAAAAATACTTGTGAAAATTAGTTTATCAATAAAAAACAATGATTTTTAATGTCGGAAGCTAATTTTTTTTCTATTTTCAAGGTAGTTTCAGTTAGAAAACTTTCTAAATGTGGTAAAAAGCTTAAAATATTACAGCCAATTCTTTGATAATTACTCGAGATTTTATCATTGCATTTATTTTATGTCTAATGTAAACAAATAGCCACTTTGTCCTTGTAATCCCAAATTTAATTCATTTAACGTTCCAAAATAGCTAAATATAATAAACGCGCCAACCATAATTCACTGAATAAACATTTTTGCAATTCAAATTTTGAATAACAGAGGAAAAATTTGAATTTCTGATCAAAGTTCAAAAGATATTTAAAACGTTGCTCCGGATAACCCCTACTTCGGCATGTAACAAAAGCGTTTCATATTCACTGCTCATCTCTTGGCATAAAATTGTAAATATTCTGGAATTTAAAGCTCGGCTTTTAATAAAATTAATGACGTTTCACAACTTGATTCAAAACGATTTTCAGGCTTTCTGGGATTGTTTTGGCTACTAAAGCTTCACGATGAATGGAGCGATGATTAAATTTAGTTTCAGGTACGACTGTCTTTTGAGAAAAAAACACCGAAATGTTTTTTCCTGTTAAAACCCGAGTTCGGTTACTGCATAGGGCAATGCACTTACTCCAAGTAATATCACTGTCAGTTGCTTTGAAAATTTCATTTGCTGTATCATGAAGAGATTCACAAAATAAATATTCATTGGCAATTAGTTCATCTTCTTCAAAACGTATGTAAACTAATAATTGAACAAAGTTCGTTACATTAGTAATTTCATCTAATTGCAATTCGAAAAACTAACTGTGTTTTATTTTTTGAATAACTGTTTCTTCTATGGAATTTGCCATTTCATGAATTCCTTGACTTTTTGTGCAATTTGATAACGGAATATTATTAAATTCATTAGCCGTTTTTTCGTTGAATAATGTTAAAACGATATCTTTATCTGCTGGTAATATAAGGTTTTTTCGAATAGTGTGAGCCTGCCCAGGCTGGTAAATTCTTAGGCTTACTAGGTAACTAGCTTCCAAAGCTTTTTCTCTTGAAGTAACAAACCTTACATTACTTGTTTACTAATTTTGAATTCCGATAATTTCCTTTTAAAATATTCTTCAGATTTATCTTTCAAATTGCTTAGATTCAAGATGTCTTTTAAGAAACGAAGGTTTCATACTTGACTGGATTATAGTTCACCGCAACAACATATTGAAGTTGAGAGTATTTTTAACTCCATTCCAAATAAATCCAAATGATAAATAACGTTCATTATATTTCCTATAAACAATTTTCCTTTTCTTTTCAATAGTATTAGTGCTAGTATATTGTCCTGGATCCATCACCTGTGAATCATCACTTTTTCGCTTAGTCAATTCTAGCCATTTTTCCGGTTTTAAAAATCTGGGTGTGTTTAGCTATTCTTTCACAAATATTTTTAAATGCACAATTTATTACGAGTTCTTCAAAAACAGACGACGATATTCACAAATCGCATAGAAAAGCAAGGAATACAAAACAACAAGAAGACAAAATATCTGTTGTTAGAGACAGCAAATCAACGTAAAAAATTATTCTAATTGAAAATAGAGCAATATGGAACTGGAAGTGATCGCGATGTAAACCGTAGGCATGCTAATAAATCGATCAACTCTAAAAGAATTAATGGGATACT